AGAACATCGTCTTCTATCAAACACCAAAACGATGTCGACAAGGAAAAATCCAGAGAGAAAATCTTTTAACCAAATCGACTATGTACTGACGGACAAGGAACGAATAATGTTGGTCATGTCGGTCACATATGAGAACATCATTTGCATACGGTCGGTCCACAGGACATTGCATTCCACGAATGCGATCGACATCGCAAACAGGAGTGGATAAAAAGTGCATGCAGATCACTGCTTTGTGGAGAACCATCATTCGATCCGTAGGCTTTCGCGAAGAATACGTCATTGATGACCTTGAAATGAACATCAACGAGGTATAGATGAGGATTAAGACTATTTTGTCAATGCCATCAAGAATTCCATTAGAACGTTAAGCCGAGCATCAGGTGAACTAGAAATCAGTAGACTGGATCTTCAAAAAAGCAGGTACTGGCTAGAGGAGCCCAACTGAAAATCGAAATGAAAATGGGCAACGTGTTTTGCACTGCATTCTGTAAAGAGACACGTAATAAGTTGAGGTAAGACCGCAAAAACTATAATAAATTCGATTAAGAAAAGTTACAGAGCGAAGGAAACACTTGAAAGCCGTGGAACAAGACACTCGAATAGGAAAATGGATTCTGAGTGCGCAAAAAAAGGAATGATCTAATCAAAGTCGAAATCAGACGATCGAGACCTGCAGAAAGTTCCATAACAATCTGTACTCTTCCAAAGTAGGCGTGAATCAGAGGCTGTCACGTGTTACCCTCTTGTGAAGTCATCTAGAACGAAGGAAATCAGAAACATTAAAAATGACAATGGCAAATGCCCACGTAAATATGATATAAGGCCAGAATACCTAAAAGCAAAAGCAAGAAACAATCCAAATGCTCGCGAAACACCTAATGTAATACATCAGGCAACACGAAATGCCTCCACGACGTGAAAGACAACAATAACTCATTTTCTTATGAAAAAAGTTCACTCTGAAGACCTCAAGAACTGTCGATTATTTGCACTCCTGTCCCAAATCTACAATTTCTTTGCTCACGTTAGTCTCATCCATATTCCAACTAGTCACAAATCTAGAACAGGCTAATTTTTGTACAGGGTTTTCTACCGTCGACTATGCATATGTCATTCAACAGTTGACGGAGATTGGCAAAGAATACCAAAAGTCCTATCTGCTTTGCTTTCTACGAGAAAAAGAACCACCATTGTCA